CTGCTGAAAAGTGCTATACATATAAAATTTGATTGATTGATTGATTGATTGATTGATTGATTGATTGATTGATTGATTATATCTGGAAGTCACAAAGAGTATCGTTTTAAATTAGGGATGCATAATATTAGAAAATCTTGAGACAACGATGATTTTGGTAAATTTGCAGTGTATTATAAGCCTGGCGGGCCACCAGGCTTTACTTGCAACCCACCAGGCTAAACATTGTTTATTTTAATTTTTTGTAATTTTTGCCTTTTCTAACACTTCATAGTTGGTGTTTGGGTTTTGCTAACATCTTCCAATAACACATTTACAATTACCTAGTCATATTTTCAAATTTCCTGTCAACTTTGAACATTTTTTAACTCAAAACCACGACTGCTAGATGCCTATGATAGCGTCTTTACCACCGGAGTTAGAAACCACTAAATTTAAAGACTTTTGTTTGTGTTGAGAAGCTATGTGATTAAAAAAAAGATAATTAAACTACAGAGAGTTTGAACATGTTTTCCTTGGATGAGCGGAAACTCCTGGTAACAGATATTATTTGGTTAGTCAGTGTTATCTTTAACTTGAACAACATGTTTTTAGGATGACCAATAAAAGTTTCCCAGCTTTGGAAACAGTAGAGTCACTGAAACAAAATGATCCCATCACAGTCTGTACTAATAACATTCAATGTAGCACAGATTACTGGAGATGTTCAAACCATGAGGGTACTCACAAAAATACTTCATGAAAAAAAAAAATATTTTTTTTTATTAACAATAATGCAAAAGTGAATTTGTTTCTTCAAATATGCTTTCTGTTTCTTCAAAGCCAAGTTTAATGAATAGATCTGTTTTAGTGTAAAAGTAAGTGAATTTTGGGGGATTCTATTTACCTTTTGTTTTAAAAGAAAACAAAAAACATGTTAACATTTAAAAAATACTTGTATCTACATTTTTCCATTTGAAGAATATTTTATTTTGTCAGTAAAAATCTTGTTCTATGGGTGAGTGCAGCACAAAATCACCAATAAAACTCCTGGTTTGTTTTGTTAAAGTATTTATAACTATCTGTTCAATCTAATCCAAGGTGCTAAGTTTCTATCTTACATGACCTTTGAAGCAGCGATACAAAATAATCTACATGTTTGGGGAAAATTACAACTTTGTACATTGATTTGTGCTTAGAAAACTTTCTTAATGCACAATATATTTAAATAAATGTAAATTTTACTAATTTTTAAAAAATTTTATTATTAAACCTGTGGTTCTAAGATCGGGTCTGATTTAAATGCCAAACTCATAGTATTTGCAGTAATTGAAGGTAACAAAGCACAAATTGTGATTTAAGGACTTAATTTATTACAAAAATAACTGGCTTGACTCTACAACTCCCAGTGTAACAGATTTTAAGACAAAAGAAAAAATCTCTCTACCACAGTGTCCAATTACAAAACAAACATAGCACTGCTCTGTGGAAGATACAGACACTAAATCCCAACTTGATAGATGTTTTGTAATCAGATATCCAGAAAATTGTTATTAGTAGTACAGATTTTAGCCGTATTAATGTTTTACAAACGTACACACTTAAACCAACTATCAAATGAAGAATATTGCATCACAGCGCCATCTAGAGCACAATGGAGACAATGACAGATATACCTCTTCATTATCTTGGCCTCTACTCAGCTGTTAAAGTTGTAAGCAGAAACAAAGACACTCCATCTCACAATACTGTTAGCATGCAAAGCACAAATTAACAACACTTTGACTATATTAACCAAAACATATTGCACTTCAAACAGATTTTAGCCGTATTAATGTTTTACAAATGTACACACTTAAACCAACTATCAAATGAAGAATATTGCATCACAGCGCCATCTAGAGCACAATGGAGACAATGACAGATATAAAAAAAGCCAGAAATATTTTTGTTTCTCACTCAGTGTTATATAATAAAGTCAAATTATTAGTTTTAGTATCATAACAAGCTTGAGGCCTTTTTCTCTTCTTACCCGGAGGATGTTCTGGCAGGTGGTGATGGGCAGACCCACCAGGCTGGTGCCGTTGACGGACATGATGCGGTCACCGATGCTGAGTTCCCCGCAGCGTTCAGCTGGACCACCATGGAGGAGGTTGGCCACCATCACCGTGGGCAGGATGGACCCCCAACCCGACTCCACCACGGCCAGACCCAGGATCTCCCCGGCAGCCTTAGTGATCCCAATCTGGACCACAAACACACACAGACTTCATAAACAACCAAAAGGATTTGCTCCACAGCTGCAGGAGAGTTGGAAAGAGCAGGAGCTTCTTAAAGAGACAGAGCCCAATTTCAAGACTTCAAATCGTAAGGTCAAATTGTATACATCATGTTTGATATATATAACATTTTTATAACTATTGAAAATAACACAGTTACTTGATTGTGATATAAAATGGCTCTATGTGCCTGGAAAATGCATACCACCACTCCTTTAACAGAAATAAAAGCCGAAAAACATCAGTCTGTGTCTATTAAGCTCTATAATTCTTAACATTCTAACTCAATGAATGGGTTTATGAATAAAACACCAGAAGTTTCAATCATTCGCTTACATCTCGAAGGTTCTGAGAGTCTGAGAAGTGGGCCAAGTCTCCATTGTAAAGCTCCTGACTCTCCAGGTAGTTACTGTATTCGCCAGGTTTCAGATCGCTGGCCTTGATGCCGTTAGCCTGTAGAAACTGCTGGTAAGCCACTCCAAATGCCTGTCCGATGGCCTGAGCGATGACCTGAGCCTGTAAGGAGACACGATAAGGACGAGGCAAACGAGGTTCAATATTTACACATGCAAGCAGACTGGGGCTGCAACTAATATCAACTAATCAGGTAAAATAAATGGTCACATTCTGCAGATTTTTCATTTAACCTCTTAATTTTACACAATATTAGAAATATGTTTTAAAAAATTCAATTCAATTTTTAAATAAGAAAGAAAACGTTTTATTGCCTAAAATAAAAACATGGCCGTCCTCTAGTGAATACCTGATCATTTGAAGCAAAGGATGAATCTGCAGCTAAATAAATACTTCAACATGTGAAAAGTTTGACCCTTTCTTATTGACTTAACATCAGCACAGTGCACTCATAATCTGCTTATTTTTTTTGATTAACAGATTAATAACTGAATAGCAAAACATGTTTAAAAAGATTTTGTTTTAGAACATTTTAACCTAATGAAGTTAAAACTATGACATTTGATGAGTGCTGGGTAGAAAACATTTATAGACAATTGTTATTTTTTGTCTAAATTATATATTTTGGCTTAATAATTGCTCTGAATATGCTGTTCTTCCAGCAACTGAACTTTTCTTAAAACGATTAATCATTTAGTAAACAATTAATCATTTAGTAAAAGATTAATCAATTACTAAATTAGTTGGTGATTATTTCAATTATTGATTAATTGTGGTTAATTGTTTCAGCTCTAAAGAAAAAAGTTAAATTGGAAAAGTAAAAAAAATACATTTTACTTTCATATAGGCCTGTCACGATAACAAATTTTGCTGGACGATTAATTGTCTAAAGAAATTATTGCGATAAACGATAATATTGTTTCAAGACCTTTCGACACTGATTTAATGGAAATGACTAATACATGCGATTTCCTGATATTTATTTTCAAAATAACACATAACATTGGAACTGATAAACTAAATAAACAAAACAACCAAAAATAAAACTAAAACGGATTCTCAGTCTCCATTAACAAAAAATGTACTTGAATAAAAACTAAACAACATAAAGCCAAAGTGGAAATAAATACTGCATTCAACCGAAAGAGTGCAGATTATGAAGTCTGTATTGCCCTTCAGTAATCTCTAGATTTAAATAGAGAAAAAAGGCACATCCGACTTCCTAATGCAATAGTTCACACTACACCATTTTTTGCCCCTATTTTCCCCTTATGACAATCTTAGATCGTTGGCCGATCTGACCGATCACCCTGCAGTGTGTGGTGGGTTACGGTAGATCGTGGTGGCCGCTCCGATCTAAATCGGGGTTTTCCCCGACTGGGAGCATAAAGCTGAATGTGACAGGTAGCCAATCAGAAAGCGCGGATTCTCCTCCATGCTTTCTGAGGGGAAATTAGGAGGGGAATCCCGAACAGCTGAAACAGCGCAACCCGAAGTCCAGCGGACATCGGAGATGATATGTGGAAAATTAATATTTATTCAACATTATGTGCGAAGACTATAGAAATGACAAGGAGAGGAGTTGGAGCCAAATCGCTACCGCAGTTCATAAACCCGGTAACTTTTCAGCTGTTCTTCGTTAACGTGACATAAATAGGTTAAAATGATTTTCATTCAGTCAGGACTTTACGCTGACTCTAGCCACATGCATCACAGGTAGATTCTAGTAAAGCATTGATTAATGCCTGGTTTTAAAATTAGTTAACTGGACTTGTAGCCATTATTTTGTGCCCATGTGGTTGGACACCACACGGCACGACAAACCCGATCGAACCGTTATACCGTAGATTTCTGTAAGGTTTTGAAAATGGGCCGACAACTTGTATAATGTGTGCTGGACATTAGACTAAGGAAATGAGAAAGGGGGTGTCAGTAGAGAGCGCTGGAGCTGAGCCTTTTTTCATTCAGTGTCATCAACAGAAAGAAAAAAGGCAGGAAGAGACGATAAAGCCGATAATTAAAATGAGATCGATAGGTTTAATTATCGTCCGATTAATTGATTTATCATTTATCACGACAGGCCTACTTTCATATAAAAAATACAGTAGAGAAAATATTTTTCCACCTTAGAACTGAAGCAAATAAAATAAGTTCTTTACTCTGAGAGGATTTGTCATCATTAGAGACACTGCAGTATGAGAAGAAGGGGAAACAAATGTCAGAAATTGTTTTTCTGGGGTCTTAAATTTCCCACAGCTAGTTAATTGCTCAAATAAATTAAATGTTGCCATTTATGGGAAAATGGGACAAGTGCCAGACCATTTGATTCTCAGGGGAACTCGCTGGCTGAAACCAGGCCAGACTAAAGCTGAAAAAACCAGAACATCTGAGACTTTTACAGCTTCACTGTGCAGAGAAGGAGACACTGGAATATTAGATCGTCCTGACTGCCTGTTTACCCTGTGCTGCTAACAACTTACAGCAACTGGATTCCAGGATTCAAAACAATAATAATGTAAACTTTTAAACATTAAACAGACTCACATCCTCCGAGGAGAAAACATGGCAAATCATTAGGCACTTCTTTTGAGGCTGCGATGAAGAGGAAGCAACATCCGCGTCCTGCCCTTTATGTTTCCTTCGCGCCATTAGGACGACAATGTCACCAATGTCTGCTATGTAGGAAATCATCTGCAAAGAGTGATCCATCATGGCTTCCTAAAAGGAAGCGAGACATGAGGAAGCTTGACATTATTAAATTATTTCAACAAGTCTCATCCTGAAACTTAAAATTTTGATGACTTCCCTTATATGGGGCAATTTTTCTGCCATAAGTCAAGAGCACATTTTCAGTTTGAAAGCAGGACTTCATGTCTTTCTTCTCAAAACTTGTAATACTTGTGCTCAAAACTTCTGCTCTCTTTCAAATACTCACTGTGATTTCTCAAACCTTTTTCCCTGCTCGGAGCAAATCTCCACTTGCAAATCTCTCTGCTCGCTTGCAAATCATTTTCTGCTTGCTTGGAACAAAGAAGTACCGTTGCCTGGCAACGTCTGAGCCAATAGAATGAAAGTGTTATACTGGGTGCGTTTGTTTCCTTCTAGTGGGTGTGCCTGTGTGGCTACTGTTGATTGTAGCAACCTGCGCCACCCACTGGATGTAGGGAGAAACATCGAGACCTCAGCTTTCTGCTCCATGTTACACTAAGCATACGCCAGCAGTGTGCTACTGATTTTAGGCAGGAGTTTGTTCATCCAACCAAAGAAAATGGATCCACAGAACCAGCCATGCTTGGACTTAGTCACAACACAATATCTCTCTATCTATCTATCTTAGTTAATCAATTTTATCTAATCTATTTAATTTATCGATTAAGTGGATGGTGCAGGTTGCTACAGTCGATAGTAGCCACACAGGCACACCCACTAAAAGGAAACAAACACACCCAGTATAACACTTTCATTCTATTGGCTGAGAGGTTGCCAGACGCCTGTACTTTTTTTGTTTCGTTTGTGAGCAGAAAGAGACAAGTTTTGAGCATATGGAGAAAGGTTTGAGAAACCCCAGTGAATATTTGAAAGACAGCATAAGTTTTGAGAATGAAAGACGTGAAGTCCTGCTTTCAGACTGAATATGTGTGCTCTTGAATTATGGCAGAAAAATTCCCCCATACGCTTACGATTCAGTTTGTCTGTAAGCAATAATCATCATAACAGACAATAAGAAACATTTGAAATATATCACTCTCAGTAATAAATGTATAGAAGATAAGTTTAACTTTTTAAATTGAATTAGTTCAATAAATTTGCTTATTTGAATTCAATAAGCTACACCTTTCTAGAGGAGTGGAAACAGAAAGGAAAGCATAAATACTTGTTCTGATAAACTTTCAGCACCTGTGTGTCAGCTGTAAGCACTTTGATTCGTTTCGTGGAGATGAACAGATCCACTTCGGTCATCGGCTGGGACTCTCCCTCTGGAGCCTACAGTCAAACCCAGCAGCATCAGAACTGGACTGGTTACCACTGGAAACCCATTCATTTCTACAGGCCACACTGAAGTGCTGTCCTTCTGAATCTAATATGTATTCACCTTGATCCTGTCAACGGCCTCCTGAGCCTGGGTCATGCGAGCGTTTGTGGAGGGGTTCCTGTCTGATTTGAGCTGAGTGGAGCCCAGATACTTGGCTCCAAAGATAACGCCGTCCAGCAGGTCTTCAGGGTCACAAGGACCAGGCACTGAAACAGCGATCATATCAGGAAAGAACAAAAACTCAGCCTAAGAGGTCATGAAGATCTCATTAAAAGGGGAATAAAGGAAAACTAACTCACCATCTTTATATGACGGGTGGTCGTCAGCGCTCTTTGAAAAGCAAATTGAAGACTCAATTAATACATTTATGTCATACATGTGAGAGAAGATGAAATTAAAATCAAACTGTGAAGCCAAAACCAATAGAAAGAATTTTAAAAATGAAAAATGAGTAAATTATATTCATTTGTCTGTTGTTTTTAGACGTAAAAATATTGATTGAAATGGTTGGAAATGGAGTTGATAATTAGATATGAACATGTTTCATGAAGAAATTTGGGATTCTGACAATACTGGATGGCGAAACATAAATTTGACCTGAGACTATTATTACTCCACCTCAGAAATGAACATCCCCGTCGGGTTAATGTCTTGGTTATGTTTTGGTCATTTCCACACCGACCTGTTCTCCGTCGGCACCGGCCTCATCCTCTGGCGGCTCCTCCCCGAGCTTCATCCACACGGGTTCGGGGTACTCGTCATCCGGGAGCGAAGCGACGGAGTCTTCCCTGCGTCGCTGACCGTTTGCGCTCTGCCTCCAGCATCTGCGAGGATCCTCCTGGCTGTAGGAAACGGAGAGCACGGCGTCGACGTCGCCAAAGAGAGGCAGGTGGGACGGATGGGCCGTAGAACCGATCTTCGTGCACTGCAGCAGTCCCAGCAGGTCTCGTTGGTGGCTTTCGGAGAAAAGCAGCCCTGTGGTTTCAGTGCTCTGAGTCAGCATGGAGTGACTGCACACTTCCTGTTCAGCCAGACTGGAGTAGTGATCATCACGGCGCTCTGTGTCCCTCATCTGAAGCTGGGTGAGCAAGGCGTGGATACGGCTGTGATCCTCATCACCTGGTCTCCTGTTTGAAAGCTCCGCCTCTTCTTCGCTGGCCGCTTTCTCAGAGCCTCCGAACACCTCGCGAGTCGTTTCCTCTGCAGCTGGAACATCTGCATCTTCGACTTGAACTTCTATAGCCTGACCTGACTCTGATGCATTTCCCAGAAGCACCTGCTGGTATGACTGGACCGGAGTCGACGAGTCTTCCCCAATCAGTGGAGGGGATCCTGACTCTCCGAGGCTGCTCAGATCCAGGAGGTCAGCAGAGGGAGGCAGGCCAGAGTCTTCCAGATCATGTGCAGAACCGGCTTCGCTGGAGGAGTCGGACCTCCAGTCCAGAGGAGGAGGAACAATTAGACTGTAGGTATCAAGGTCTTCTGCCTCTGGCACTGGAAGCGTACTGATTCCCTCCACTGAGGCTCCAATAACAGGGTCAAAGTCAGACAGCGGGCCATCTGCATGCGTAGATCCAGTCTGATGATCTGGGAAGCAGTCGGAGTCCATTTTGTGTCAAGGATAAGATGGCATTACCGAGCAGAATAAGTACTGCGATCACAATGCGGCAGAATCTCCTGGAAGGACTCCTATAAAGCAAAACACTTAAACCATTATAGGTGGTTATCAATAAATGACAGCATGTAAGAAAAGTACTTTTATTTCAGTAATTCAATTAAAAACTGGAAACTTATAAACGCAGAGCGATATATTTCAAGCATCTATTTTTGTTAAGGTTATGACTTACAGCAGATTATGAATGTCCTCAAAGGGCCAGTAGTGGCAGAATGTGTTTATAAAATCAATTAAACTATTAAAATATTAACTGTTTTTAGTATGATTGACAAAAAAAAACATTTGAGCACGCCGATGTTATTTTTAAGGTTCTTTTTATGTAGAACCTTTTATGTAGAACCGCTAGACACATATAAAGTGTCTAGCGGGTTACATAAAAAGCTATGGCAAGCCAGATTTGGCACCCGGGCCTTGAGTCTGAACATAACTCCAATTAGTCTGAAGACTGGGGACCTGTCTGTTGTTCACATGTAAGCATGTCATGACAGTCAAGCGCTACTATCTTCAGTGAGAAGCCTCCTCTGATTCGTTGGAACAGTGACTGCTACCAGATTTCCTACCTGCACAGCATCACCTCCATAACAACTCTTTGAAGATACTAAGATGACATTTAATTTCATTTTAGGACAATTAATGTATTTTTGAACTGAGTTGAAAATGAGTAACTTTTTTTTATTGAATTAATGCAGTAAAGTATTTTACATTTTATCATTTATTAAGATGTAGCGGTATATCGTTTGTGACACAAAATAATAATTATCGATGGCGTAACTAATACCTACTACACAGCTATAGTTAGTTAAATAAACAGTAAAATGAGATGAGTTTCACTGTAAAAGCACAACAAGAAGGCTTCAAATAAACACTATGCTTCTGGGGAAATACATAATTCTTCATAAGTAAGGGAAAAACAATTTTAAAATAAACTAAAAAAATTAGAACTCCTTTTAAATCTACAACCAGCCTAACTGAAGTAGCATTATTACTAGCTAGATGCTAACTGCTCCACTTTACAGTGTTTTTCTTAGGCAGGTACTGTAATGAAAGCTAAAACAATGAACACATAAAACACCATAACTGCTATAAAAATAGTTCTTACCGGATGTCGAAAATCTTTCTCGCCTCCTTTGTGTCCAGATAGACACAACTGTCGCTGCCACGACCGATGAGTCGACGTGTTTAGGAATTTGAACCCTCTCCACAACTTCTGTGCACACTTTTTCCGTCATACTATTGACATCAGTAATTCTGACATAAGTAGCAATTTAACGGAATGCCTCACTATTACAGTTGTTTAGGAGTAAATTGGACTAACTTTTAAAGCTGCTGCTGCTGTCGAGTGACTGCTTTTATTTATTGGTCACCACTATCCTGCTGCGGCGTTCAAGTTCCCCCGTAACTTCCCAAATAATCCTTACAAATTCTGTCTCTACCCATTTCATATACGTACGTAGTTAAATTTATACAGAAAGCCATCAAGGTTTTCATTAAGTTGCATCTAACCAGCATTGGAGAATAGATATGAAGTATAATATCTCATATGAGCAATAGTTTACCTCAGATTTAGACTTTACTTACGAGCCGCATCAAATGCAACAGTGAACTACGTCAACAGCCCTGCGTCCAAGCCCCGATTAATCAAATGTCGATATTTCTATTAAGAAAGTCAAGACCTATTTTATTTTGTTTTTTATTTTTGGTGAATATAATGTTGCATACATAATTACCCTATCATTTTGGTTTGAAAAACTTTTACCACATACTCTGTACTTCTTTGAATATAAGTATCTTCCTGCTTACAATGTTGGAAAAAACATTTTCAGTTTTTTCTGTATCTACTTCTGACAGAAGTCAGCGTAAGAAAAAATCTTGATCTATTTATCTTGAAAAACTTTTAAATATCAGTCTTCTTTGGTTAGTAATCCCCAAAACACACACATAATGAAACAAAACAGAACAATAAGTGATTCTAGCTTTACTTAAAAACAATCATAAATTAATAAACATGGATTAAAGTTTGTCATAAAGACTGAGTCAAAATAACATTACATATCTGCCTGCAATGTTCTTTAATCGTTCTTCCATGCAAAACATCTATTTTTTGCAATTAACTGAACTTATAAAGACGACTCAAAGATCTGAAATGGTGTCCACATAAGCTCATTTTGCTTAATATGCATTCATCTAAATAAAACCTCCACATTGTTTGCGGTTTGTTAATGTCTGAAGCATTGTTAAAAAAGTGCTGTTAGAAATATTTCTCTGTTACATATTTCTTTCCGTTTTCCTCTTTTTCCTCATAAATTTTAATACTTGAAACAACTGACCAAATACAGATTGTGGTTTTCAATAAAAACATCCTCGTTGTTATATCATAAGTTGTCATTAATCAAATTATTGGGAAACACATTTTACCAGCAACCTGCGAGGAATCTAAAATCAACAAATAAACAGAATCGGCCTGACAACATGAAGTAGGCCAAAAGGTTTCCAAGGGCAAGACGTCATGCTTTGATCTACATAAATTAAAGAACAGAAGAGAAACAAAATTTCCGAATATACTGAAACCGTAAACTAATCTCATAATTTCAAAAACATTTCAGATAACTAGCACAGGTGTTTTATTTATTCACTTACAGAAAGTAGGAATACTGTAGCTCTAGGAGACAAGAGCAGGAGTAGAAATTAATTTAAACAGATGATCTGATCAAACCAAAAAGCCGTTCATAATCCAGTTAATTAGCATCTCCTCCTGATTGTGAAGACAACGCTGTACTGCCTGACAGCTCACTGCTGCTGGTATTCATCTGAATCAAACCTATTAGAGAGGAGGTGGAGCCCAGTAAGCCCACCAGCCAGCTGGGGAACCGTCCTGCCCACAGGAAGCCTGGCGGCATCCAGTGAACGGCGTTACTGAGGTCCGCCATGCTGCTGAGGATGGAGAGCATCTCCGCTTGCATCTGCCTGTGGAGGTCAGACCGTCTGCAGGAGAAAACAGATTTACAGAGCATTGGAAAACTGTATATTTCTAAAACAGAGTGATGTCTTACCCTGTTAGTTTGAAAGAAAAGAAACATAAATAAGACAGGATGACAAACAAAAAACTCTAGATTATATTTGTTAAATGCTTAAATAGACTGACTGAACGTTTAGCTTGCTTTAATAATAAAGCAAATGTCAATGAAATTTTAAAAAAAATGAATTTGCTAAGTAAACACCTGCTGCCTCCTTCGCCTCTCCGGTGTTTCTTCAGCTTCTTCCTGAGCAACAGCAGAACTCGAAATGATCTGGAGAAATAAAGATTTGCACTGAAACTCTCAGTTTTTGTACTTCAACTTAGCTTGTGCTTTCTTGACTGAGTTTCTTATGAAATATAATTTTTATCAGGTTTTCTGCAATGCATAGTTACAAGTTAGTTTCCAGAGACTCAGCAATGCTTATAGGCTACAGACCTAAAAGCTAAACACTTCCTGGAACTTACTCTGAAATAAAAAGTTACTTTAAAAAAGTTTCAAATTACTCTTCCTGAAAAATAAAGCAAGAGGGAGCCATGTCCTGTTCTAGTTGCTGACAAGACATGCAAAACAAAAAATCAGGAAAAGGATGATCCAAAAATATTTAAGGGAAACATTTGTTATTTTTTTGTTTTTTTTTTAAACCGGTCGAACCTGCAAGTAAAAATGGTAACTGGACTGAACTAATAGCCCTTTTCCAGTCATTTTGACCAATCAAAGCGCTTTACAGTAGAGCCAAACTCACCTACCTCACAAGTAATTATTAGGGATGCACCAATTTATCAATACCGATTTCCCTAATTTTGGGAAATCAGTGATCGGCCGATTTTTTTCATGTGAAGCTCATCTTAACCAACGATTTTATCTACCTCAGCAAAGGTATTTAAATCAACTTCTGTCTTCTTCTGCTCTGCTGTGAGAGAGGTTTGGCTAGCAGACCGGCCCACCAGATCAGGTCTATATGTTGCAGTTAACAACAATCATCTCATTGTTGGCAACTCATCAACTTTCTTCCTACATTTAGCAACATTTTAGACAAAAGAAATTGGTATCGGCCAAAATTGGAATCAGCAGGTCAGAATTTTGAATAATTCAGTAATCGGTGATCGGCCAGAAAACTGGAATCGGTGCACCCCCATTAATTATACTAGTAATACAAAACTTTGGGTAAAAATAAACACCAGCAGGCTGGAATCAAATGTATATCCTATGATTTGCAAGATACCAACTCTACCTACTGAGTCACCACCACACTGTTTGTTGTTAGAACAAACAACGAATCCTTTTTCTTCAGAAATCACATCATTTAGCTAATTTTATTAAAGTATTCCTAGTTTGTTGCTAAACATATATATATATATATATATATATATATATATATATATATATATATATATATATTATTATTATTTTTTTTTTTATTTTTTTATTTTTTTTTGCAATAAAAAAAGAAAACATATTTTTGTGGTAGTTTTGAAGTAATTTCAACAGATGCAGATAACTCAGCTGATGTGTCCCGATGTCTGAGTGCAGACGTCTCACCTGAGGATCCCCAGCAACAACGAGGTTCCCCATAGCACTGTGCTGAACAGCCACCACTTATCAGACCTCACTTTGATCAGCTCTGCATCTGCGGCCCAAGCAATATGTTCACACGGATAGTACAGCTGGTCAGCCACGTTCGTAAGCACCGATATCCAGCGGACGCCTGCATCCTCCTCCTGCAACAAGAATCTGGTCAGTATCAACAGAAGAGATGGGACTTGTGCGGACATGTAAGCAACTTTTTATTATGAATCACCGAAGCACCAAGTCCGTAGCTGTGGGAGTATGCCAGCATGGAGAGATCATCAAACAGCCTCAGCACCGTCCTGCAGTGGCTGAGCTGAGCAGAAAACAGAAGCAAACTTTTCCCAAGTCGCTGAGATGATGCATCTGCTGCTGCTTTCTGGGTAAGAGCTCCTCCCACCAGCTGAGAGCCATAACAGAACGTCCTGATCTGCAGGCAAAAGGTAAAACAAATAATAATTAATGGATGAAAGTCACAAAATCAAGATTATATTTATAAAAAATGACACAAAGTAGAAAATATTAATAGAATTTTACAACACCAGAGCTTTTTTTTTTTTTACTTTTACCTGAGTAATTTTATTTATGAACGACAGAAAACTCTTACTCTTGCTACAATTTCTTAATACTCTCCCGACTGTGTATAATTTTACTAAATGAAGAGCAAGTTTCTTTCAACCAAAAATTCACCAGACACACACACATGCAGTTTTTGTCAAAGTTTCAAAAATGTTATATTAAAAGAAACAAACGTTACCATAAGGCATTATCAAATCAAAATCCAATAAAAACGCATGGTCAGTTCAATCCGTCATATAGACTGATTTAAAGTCATAGTTTATGCTAAGATTACTGGGGTAAAATGCATTAAATTACTCATTTACATAATAAATAACTAAATTATTCCCTGCAGAAGTATCCGACCCGATGTTTTCACTACAGCCTTTGGATAAAAACAAGGTTCAGTGAAGACTCACAACTTTATCTCTTCCTCTGTATGTCTCTAGCAGTCGGACGAGAGACTCCACAGACTGCTGCATGTCCGATTACACACACAGTGCCACAGCCACACTGTGATAAATAAATACACTCTAATTTGATTTAGTTTCCGCAGATCATTTTAGCTTCTGCTGCACGCATATGACAGCCTCTGCACCTGAATGCACCAACATTCAGCTGGACTTTGAAACAGGAACTACTTCAAATAGACCAGAGCAAACGATCGTCGATTTCCAAGCGCCACTCTGGACGTAACTAAAGTTGTTAAGTGTGTAAGGCAAGATTTCTGCAACCAGATAGAGGATCAACTGTATAGTCTCTTTTAACACTCTAGATCAAATCACAGGCACGAACATTAGCAAATGGTTGGTTCAAGAGGGTTTGCAATTTGATTAGAGAAAATCATTTAGTTGACTGTTGGATGGAGGCTATATAACTTTAAATTATAATATTTATTAATAATGATCATATTTAAAATCATGAAAACTATTATAAAAATACAAACATTAAATAATCACATGTGGTATTAATAATACTAGCAGCAACACTAATAATAATAATAATAATAATAATAATAATAATAATAATAATAATAATAATAATAATAATACAGCTAAACCAACTGCAGAAAATATTAAATTTGCCTCAGCGATTACCAAAATTAGTACTAAAATAAGCATATATTACTGAGAAAACTAAAACTATTCAGTTGATTGCTATCTTTCGTGCTTCTTGCCATTCAGAGTATCAGAGTTGAACAAGCCACTCACAATATGGCGGAATGACTGGCGTACGCATCGATGGTGTCTCTCACCAGTATGACGTCTGACTCCATTCTTGTCTCGTGCACGACAAGTGTGTTTTACGCAAGCCATCCAGTGGTGGTTACGTAAATAGTTCCCGTCATGCTGTTCGCACGTACCTCACCAAAAGCCAGTTCAGAGGACCGGGGAGGAGGAGGCGGAGGCGGACAGCTGAGAATCCCTGGCTGACTCCGGTAGCGGATTCACGAAGCAGGTGACGGACGGCGGGGAGTGAACACAAACACAGCAGCGTCATTAGACGTTATGTCCGCTTTCAAAAAAGATCTTACATCTGGTCCACGAGTATCTTTGGGTTTTCCAAACGCTTTGTTTTGTCGGGAGGGATTCTGGTGTCCACCGGGCGATGTCAGCGGCCACGGCCACTGCGCGGGTGATGAGAGACCGGCTGCTGCAGGCCATCGACGGCCAGAACAACGTGAGTTTTTTTAAAAGTTTTACATCAGAGGAAACAGAATGGAGAAGAAGTAAATAATAGGCTCTGAGACTCGGTGTGTCAAAAGTTACTCCGATTAATGAACGTGGAGATTTATGAAGTGTTGCATGTCTGTTTTAGTTGCTTTTTTTTCTTCAATATGCTCCCCGTCCATTTCTATGTGTCGTCCTGTCTATTTTTAATGTCTTTGAAGCAAAATAACAATAAAAACAATTTGACTCAGTAGATTCATTTCAGGTTGCGTTTTCAAAAAATGTTCAGAAAAGAAAAGAAAAATGTGGTCCATATAATGTTTAATTATATTCAGATCTTATTAGGTTGACAAGAGATAAAGTCCTAAAGCAATGTTTTGTGTGTTTTATTTTGTAATGACATTTCAGGGCAATAAATACAAGAACAAAGACTAAGAAAACATTTCCTTCATAAGAGCTGCTGTTGCTCTGACCACCGTAAATTCATCCAAATCCTGATAATATTTTTATTAATCTCCCGGTTGTTTCTGTTTGTTTCTATTTTATTATTTATATTTATTTGCATTAAAAAAATTAAACACTTTACAGCCTATGAAAGAAAATAAAAGGAGATGCTTCAAAAATGATGCAGTCATGTTCATAATTCGTTGATTTCAAAATGATGTTATGAAATGCAAGTGATCCTGCATTCAACCAAAACCAAACTACAAAAACATTATACAATAATTCAAGAATTATATATGTTAAATATACCTGTATTTGTAAAAAGTGATTATGTGCAGGAACACTAAGTGTATATGATGCTGTTATAATTACATAACATGGGGACTTCCTGCTGTTCTTACTTGTGCATTTCACCAGTCTAACTCTAATATTAATAATTCAAACCACAATGATATCATTGGTATCTTAACATTCGCTGTTTTTGATGCTTTTGCTGGTAATTTTCAGGTTGAGATTACCTTAAATCACTATATTCGTTATCAGGAGTAAAATTTTACACTTTTCTAACACAGTGGTTATGGTTTTATTTAAATCTTTATGCTTCTCTCTGCTACTAAGATAATATTTGCATGTTCTTATCTTTGCTAGTCACATTGAGCCTGAAACCAGTATCGGTACATATTTTCACAAATGCAGGTGTACATTTGAGACTCTATGCAAATGAATGCTTGTCCTAATGACCTCTGTTTTCCCTCCGTAGTCCACTGACTTATTGGTGAATGTCAATAAATTAGGATATAATCAGAAACTTTTTTTGTTTTTTCAGTTCAAAAATTTGGAAAGTTATATATACAGGGTGTATATATATATATATATATATATATATATAGTGTTTATTTCAGGTTTAAATGATCCATCATTTTCAGGTTTTTGAAACTGACGGATCACATTTTCATTAGCTACTCCTTTATTACATTGTAAACCTTTGTCTTCTGAGCAGATACGCAACATGATGGTGGTTGTGGAAGTGATTTCCAGTTTGGAGAAATACTCTATCACCAAAGAAGTACTAGAGGTATGTTAAAATACAAGTCTGATTAAAACAACTCTTCTGGAAGTCAAATTACATCTGCGATGTTTTGGTTGTAGGAGACACGCCTTGGGAAGCTGGTGAATGACATCCGGAAAAAAACCAAGAACGAGGATCTTGCAAAAAGAGCCAAGAAGCTCCTTCGGACCTGGCAGAAGCTGATCGACCCGGGTCAGGGTGACTTGGTCCCCAAAGAACTCACTGGTGCATCTTGGCCTTCCAAAGGCAGCATTCACTCCTGCTCCTCTCCTCCAGCTTTGAGCAAAACAGGCTCAGAGTTAAAGGCCAGAAGTGACTTCAACAACTACTCTCCAAATCCTGAACCGATAAGCAACAGGAAACGTAGATGTGACAAGAAAGAGGGTCAAACAAAGAAACCCAAAGTCGCTCATGATGATGCAAAACAGCAGCCATCTCATGGACTCGGTGGGAGTTTTAAAATTCCTGCAAATACTAATGCACACCAACCATCAGACAGGGATACGTCTAAATATCTGGACAATAGTAAGTCAAATAAAGTTCCTATTCACGCTGTCAAACCTCATCCAAGTGCCAGCAACCCTCCTAACACGCTTATGCAACGGCAGGTTAGAAGGGATAAGCATCAACCTAGAAGCCCTGGTTGTCCGTTGCAACATCCTGAGAGCCTAAAGCAAGAAGCTGTACTAAAAAAACCACAAAGTAGTGGAAATCCAGGTGTGATGGAGGAATCTGCTCAGTCGTTTAATGTTCACACAAACCTCTCAGGGTCTGCAAATCTGGGGTTTCAAAGCAGGACTTCAAGTTTGGATGATGAGACTATTATTAATGATGCTGTGAACAAGAAAAGAGAAAAATACAAGGCTAAAGATCATGTTGTGAACCTGAATGGCCCAATTACAGAAGACAAAAGCAAACCAGCGAGGATAAAAGACAGAAGGATCACATTTGATCCATCAACAGGACAAATTAAATTCACTTGCCCTAAGGAGTCTTCAGAAGAGCAGGAAGTCTCTGAACTCCTGCTGAAGCTGAGTCAACCCATTCCTCCCAGTCCCTTCCAACAGACGGACTGGAAAGAACTGTCAAGGAGCGAAATAATCCAGTCATACCTCACCCAGCAGAGCAACATCCTGTCGTCTGGTGCACACACACCTGGAGCCAACCTTTTCATGTCGGAGGTTTGCAAAAGAGCGGATCACCAGAAGAGGAATACCACAGAAACGTCCATACTGGTATCAGACCATCATGTCAAAGAGTTACCTGGAGTTGGCAGAGAAATCAGCAGTGAAGACCTGAACCGATTACAGAGACGGCGTTGGTCCGGAGTTAACGGGTGTTACGACACCAAGGGGAACTGGTACGACTGGACGGAGTGCATCTCTGTGGATCCACATGGAGACGAGAGCAGACTAAACATTTTGCCCTACGTCTGTCTGGACTGAAACGCTGTTCAGCTTGGAAGTAAATCAATTGATCAAGTCTACGAGATGAGAAATTTTAGGAAAATGATACCTTATTTGTGCTGGATGTTTGGTCCATTCAGCTTTTGTTTTGTATTTAAATTTAGTAAAATTTTCTTGTTGGCATTTCATAACCGTATTATGAAAATTTACAAGACACATTTTCAGAAATCATTAACGACACACAAATACTTTAAAACTTAATTAGTCCAAAATTAATATGCTGTTGTATTTAGGACTGTTTCATTTGCAACTGTACAGCTTTAATTAAGAGTTTTTACCGCATTTTTGACCACCTGAATATAGTTCAAGCAAATTCCCAACACTCAGCTGATGTACATTTTCACAAATAAATTACAATATTTTTTTTAAATGGAAAACGTTTGATACAACACAAAGTATTTGTCCTTTATTATTCATGTTTTACTTGCTTTCAATTTCTTTTTTATTGTAAGTAGGACCTTAACTATCCACCGAGTTGTTATAGAAGCTAAGTGAGTTCAAGTGATTTAGAAGAAAAAGACTCATAAATATAATAAAAATATATATAATCTTTGCATGTATATAAGTTTGTGAACTGCAGATACTTTCAACTTGACAATTTCGACCTGTGGAGCAGGTCGAAATTGAGGTTTGAAACAAGTCGAGAGCCTGGACACCAGCCTAAGTGATCATATCTCAATTGCTTGCTCTGCATGGAAATGACCTCAAAACCCTGTCATTATTATCTGCAGTTGAAATTTGCATGCATTATATACAGTCTACCATTTTTTCCTTCCTTCCTGACATTAAATGAAACTAAACCTTCCATTTTTTCAGGTAAGTTAAGATCCGTGTTTTTTCCATTTCCTGAAAGCAAGAATAACGATTATATTTATTAACATAAGCATGAGATTGTTGTGCTTTTAATAAAATTGTAGAAGCCCAGGTGATAATTTCATTGTTTTTTTGAAAGTGTCTGATTAATTAACAAAATCTGAGAGAAATGGAAGCACAAATGGGGAGATATCTTTAGGCACATCTCAAACATGATGCATCTTTTTGTGACGTCATAGATCTTTTTGGAGAGGTCAACAAACCTCACTCCATTACTCTTACCCTGTAAGAAGAAATCAGCCAAAATTATAATTATTGTAAGAGTTTGTTGACAGATGTCCAAATTTTTCACCCCCAACCATACAGTTTAAAGGTTATTTCCACGTAAAACTTGAAAAAATGTAAACATCTGACTTGGAAGAATGACCAAAAAAAAAAAAAAAACTGTATGTAGCTTACAGTATAAAAGGTAAACCTTTGATTTATTGTGTCTGACATTTGTACATAGTGTATAAACATCTGATTTTGGCTGTAGCTTGCCATTTGAGTTCATCCTGGAGGTTTGAAATAACTTTTTTTCTATAGATTTTTAGACAATCTCATGATGTAAAGCTGTGTAATTAAATTTTCAGAAAATAAGCTTATTTTAAGAAATAAACGCTTGAAATATTTCACTCTCTGTGCAATGTACTCTGTGTAGTACATTCTTGAAATGCGCTTTTAGCTTCTTTTATTTTGAAATCTGTGAGCGGAAGGAGAACACTTCATTCATTAATGGTCTGACGGAGCTTACTGCGCCCCGGTACAACTACACACACCGGTGGTGACTCGTCACTCCGCGCAGAAAGATGGCTGCGGTGGCGCGGACCCCGGTCGGGGAAGGGATTCGGATAGTTGTCCTATGTGTGTTTTGGTACACGGTGAGCTCCGGAGGCAACGTTATTAACAAAATAATCCTCAACGGATTCCCGTATCCCGTCACGGTCTCTCTGTTCCACATCATCTCTGTTGTCGTCTTCCTCCCGCCGCTGTTGAGGGCATGGGGAGTCCCCAAAACTGAACTGCCGAGCAGGTACTACCGGTGGTACATCCTCCCGTTGGCTTTCGGAAAATACTTCGCGTCCGTTTCGGCTCACTTCAGCATATGGAAGGTGCCTGTTTCGTATGCACACACAGGTGAGTAGAAAATGTTAAATCCGGCCAGCTGGAACCTGTTATCCGGGGCAACTTGATGATGTGTCTGTACCGTCAGCTGATATTAGCTTTGCGGCTAACGGCTGGCCAACTGCCGACAAGGGCATTTAAAGAGTCTGGCAGACCGCAGCGTCACGTAGATCCCAAACAGAAAAGCTTTTATTTCACTAATTATTTTTAAAATGCAGCCTTTGACTCTACTTTTGTATTTTTACAGTGATTTTACGTAAAATACCATCTGTTAGCTTGCTAGCCAACTGAATTAAAGCTGAAATACGTCAAGGGGGAGGAGTAGTATGCTTCTTCAGTTTTTAAACTCAGGGTAACTGAATGCATCTGTTACGGTAGTGATCCCGAAAATGCCCCGATTCATTGGTAAAATGACACATTAAATTCAGAGGCGGATATAAGCTAGTTGCATTTACTTTAGCAACTTTCTTGAGGAGTGGTTTTACTACACCGTACTTTTTACTTTTGCTTCTGTAATAAGTTTTACCCTTGAGCAAAAATTCACTAAAGGAAGAACAATAATGTTTTAATCAAAATCAGCACAAACCTACAGTTTATAAGGGGATTTCTTGTGTAAACATAAGCTTTGTTATTCTGTTATTTTCTATCTATTGAGCGATTTGTAGATCAAAAAGATACATATATATTTTCTGTGAAAGGTATATTTACCTATTGCGTTAGTGTTGAAAATTTGATATTGGGGAAGAAAAAAAAAAGATTGGAAAAATTGTTTTTTCAGCCTGAATTTTGCTGATTTGTAATTATGTTGTAGTATTTTTTCTATTTAGTCTTTAAAATAGCAGAATTTGCACATAACTATATGTGTTTGTCCATCTAACATCATTTATAAGCATTAAAATGTTTTAATTAATACTGTAGTAGCTTTCTTAACAAATACTTTATTTTTTGGATGGCCACTATTGACTTTGGTAAAAATATATTGAACCAGTGTTACTCTTACTTGAGTATATTTTTTGAGTACATTGCCCATCTCTGATCAAATTGGGAGTCTTTTTATTTTATTAAATGTTAATTGCCTCTGCAGTCAGATTTAGTCCCTTGACCCCTTGAGCAATATTTGCATATATTTATTAACAAGCTATACTCCATCAGTAAGTATTTTACACATTGTAGTAGTTTAGGTTATGGGTCGGCCCGATTGATAGAGATTTTATTGCATGGAATGGTAATTTAATTATTTAACATGGAGCCATATCCCACATTCGTACTGTGACAAATGTGTGACAGCCTTTTTTTCTGTCTCTAGTAAACCCCCTAATACAAATTATTTAACACTAAAAGTACACAATTTAAATATGTCTGTGCAACAAATAATTTATCAGATAATTTGTTTTAAGCTACATCTTCAGGCAGAAGAACCACAGATAGTTTCCAAGGTTATAAAAGTATTTATGAAGCACTAGCAATAATAATGCAGTTCTGCATGTATTTGTTAATGAGAATCGTTTTCATATTTTTGAAGATACAACCTTCAAATCTTTTTTATTATCTGTAGATTATCTGATTTTTTTCAACCCATTCATGATTCATATGTGGTTCAGTCTATTTATTCCCTTCTGTTGTCATTTTGTCTCCATCTATTTCTATCTTCTGAGAAATTTCCTGTGTAATTAACAATTGTTTATCACAACATTCATCTATTTAAGTAAGTTGATTTATTATGGAGGTTAGCATAACAATGTTAAAATTCTATATTTAAATTCAGTTAGTTGTGTATTGTGAAGAGTTTGTTATAGTGTCTTTCTATTCGAGATTCAACTAACAGCCTTTTTCTAGCAAATAAGCATTTTATTTAAGGTTTTTATTGGCGATTGTGATTTTGACCATTTTTTTAAAACTTGAAAACATAAGAGGAAAAAAACATGATTTATTTTTTCTTTGACTTTGTTTTGAATTCAACAAAATAAGGAAGATGTTGCATGCTGAAGTCCCTATTTTTGCACGACAACATGTCTTTATTTTGATTTTTATTCTTTTAACCAAATTGTACTAGTTGATTAACGGATAGGGAAAAATCTAGTGTAATTTTTATTTCTGGCTGATTAATTAGTGCATCTCTAATTTCCATTGACTGTTTTCTGATCCCTGTTTCAGCTGGTCGACTCTTATAATATCTGAGATCTTATGACGATATGGACTTAGAATTTTATAACTATTTTATAGCTCAATTATGATAACAATAAAAATTATGATAAAGAACTATTTATTAATTTTTTTTACTGTAATTGCATGGCAAAGCATTCATAGCGCCACAAACATCAGCTACTTTAAGAAGTGTTTTATATCACTAATTTATTGATATATTTTTGCTCTCATGGAGAAAACTGTAGAGAAAATAGTAAAAATATCAATTTAATCTGTTTTTTTAACACTATTTTTTGCGACAATAAATCAAAATTCTTATTATAAAAATATTTTTTTTATGGTCAACACACTGCCTGCACATCACAAATTATCCCCTGATGTCTTGTCTGCACCTTATTTTGAATGTTTATTATTTTAATACATAAAGTCCTAATTCCTATTATAGTAACTATGCAGTGAATCTGGTTGCTCAGCATTGTTTAGGATTCATTTATTCTTTTGTCGGTGTGAACATGACGCACCGCTGTCGAGGCGTGACTCAGTGAACGACGTCGTGTGTTATTTGACAGAGGTGTGGACCCGGCTCTGACCTGCCATTAACTTTTTACAGCTCAGACGTAATCGGTTCGCTCTCTCCTTGCTGAGGAACCGCAGTCCTCATCGTTTTTAAAACTGACACCATCCCATTTCCCCCCCCTTTGTCTCTTTCACAGTCAAAGCCACAATGCCGATATGGGTGGTGCTGCTGTCGAGAATTATAATGAGGGAGAAGCAAACTACAAAGGTGAGTAGGTCCAGAGCGTAAGACGCAGCACAAGTCCTGCTGTGTTTCAGGCTGCGACTCGGCAGCGGTGATGTGGCACAGCGGGCCGACTGTGCCTCTGCTGCATCTCATGTTACAGCCGCCTGCCGAAGCGTCTGTCGCTGGCATTCTCCAAGAGGTCAGGGGTCATCCACATCAGCTCCTGCATTCTGTATCTGACATTTAAGAGGCTTTACGTAGGTTGATTCTCTGTGGGAATAATGAAAGTAAAGACTGTGAAGAATTTGTGCTGAATGAACCAGTAGTTCAGCTTTACAAACAGACTTCAGGATATCATCGTAAATATCATTAGAAATGTTGTGGGTGTGGATAAACCTTTGTAGACGAGGAAAGCCGATGTTAAATCAGGGTGATCTTTGGACTCTCGCTCAACACTGCATTTAAACCTGGAGGGATTTTTCTGTTTTTTGTCAAGCAGATTGTTGCCTTTTCTTTTTTAAAAACTGTTCAGTGACCACAAGTTGTTGCAGCAGCATCCAAACTGGTGGTTAAAACAGACCACAGAGCAAAAATAACAACATATAGAAGACCCCTAACTCTCTACATCCTGTATGGAGTTAATGAACTTTGATTTATTCATTTTTTATGCTGAAACTACTAAAGGTGGATAAATAAAGTTTCATCCATAAAGGATAAAACTATACGGATTAAAGTCCATAAAGAAAATAAGCTTATTTTCCCCATCCTGTGTTTTTACTTATTATAGAAAACGCTACATAAACTAAATCCATTATAACGTATATAATGTGTAAATAAAACCATAAAGAGTTGGTTATTTCAGGATTTCAGCTTCAGACTCGTATTCACATGAAAAGTGGCGTTTAATTGGATCATATGAAACAATCCAAAAGTTTTAAAGTTGCTTCTCTGTGGCACACTATAATGGAATCAATATTATTTAAAATATTTGTTTTTATGTACATTTACATTCATCAGTTATTTCGTCACTTTGCAGACAAGGCTAAGAATCACATAAAATCAATACTTTATCAATTACCAAACTGTAATTCACTGACTGACTTTTGACTAAGAAGAAACTTTAAATTGAATGTTTTCTGCTGACATTTGGTTTATTTTTAAACCAAAATGCTTGTAAAAAAAAAAAAAAAAAAATCCTAAGATCTGAAAACAAAAAAACAGTGATATAATAACTCTTCCCTCCAATGTACACATAAAACTAAAACACTCAGATTTTCAAAATATTCAAATGTAATCAGTATCTCACTCACGATCCAGATGGGAAATGAGTGATTTCTGTGAAACTGCTTCGTCGTTCCAGTTCCAGATCACTTGAAACTGGGACGTTTTCACACTGCTGACTAAAATCAGGCTCTTGTGTCTCATCATTACCAGCCGTTCTTGCATTGCTTTGGTGTGCAGTGCCTTAGATCATATCTTTGTTTACTAATTTTTCTCACATGGCACAACAAAAAGCCATTCAAATATGTGTTTGAGTCATTTCCTGGTTCCCTGTACCCTGTAGTATGCTGGCTAATGTTAAAACAGCGGGTAACCATGGCAACCGGTCACAGTTTAAAGGCCGGCCGGCTCTTTCTGCAGTCAAGTTGCATGAGCATCAAATATATTTAGAAACAAATAATCCTGTTTTACTCCTAATCTCCAAATAAACTTAGATTTTCACTGCAGAAACACAAAATCTTACCAAGTATTTATGATGTTAAATACTTGAAATAAGACAAAGCAAACATTCAAGTAACTTTTCAGTGAGATGTAGCATCTTGTTATAAGTCAATAATACCTCAGTGTTAATGAGAAAGTGCTTTTTCATCAACACTTTTTCATTATTTCACTTACATTTCTCATGTGTTATAAGTGAAATAATCTGCCGGAGGAACTAATATGTTTCCATCAATATTAATAAATAGTTTTCTAAAAACAAGCGCCTGTATCTTGCTGAATAGGAACTTTTAAGTTAGCTTTGTCTTATTTTAAGTGTACTGACATATTTGCAGTAGAAACTAGACCAAAAATACTTGGTAAGATTTTGTGTTTTTACATTGCTGTTGCATTTCTTTTACTTGTACTTTAAACACGAAACATCTTTCCGCAGTTTTTAACACAGTCAACCGTTTCCCTCTGATTTCTGGCTCTGTAGTTGAAATGAAGCTGGTATTTTTCAGCTCTGAGATGCTCCTCAGTTTCCCGTTCTGGTGAAGGAACGTTTCTGCGTGTTAAACAGGAAATAGATTTATGTGTCTGACATCAGGGTGTTATATTTACTTTGCAGTTCAGTGCTGAGACAAAGTGGAGTTTACCTTTGTTTGCATTTCTGTTCATGCGAAAGAATCTCAACAGCCAGAGACGGCCGCATTCAGATTTGAACCTTTTTCTCTTTTTGTGCCAAATGCTTACAAAATTAATCTGTGAATTTGTTGGCAACATTAAATAAGACACAATTATCGGCCTTCATCAAACCAGGCTTTACAACTGCATAAAGGCACTGGTGCCTGCTGTTAAATCAGTAAATAATAGTGTTTTATTCAGCTTTTCTTTTTCATTAAATTTGTGTTTTCTCAGTTTCAGGCTGAGTTCAGTGACAGGTGCGTGTCATAAAAACCAAAGCTCGCCTCTCATTCTCAGGACCATGCAAATGATCTGGTGCCTGTAATGACGGTTTCCACCGGTGAGGTGTCGTCCCCGGTGGATGGAAACATTTGTTTGGGCTTCTGTGTTTCTTATTCTCTAACATTCATCACAAGCATTGAATGGATTATGAAAAATTGTTTAAAAGAAATGTTGGTTTTCATTTCCCGATTACAGTCGTCTTATGAAAATGCCTCTTCATTTTCTGACTCGTTTCGGTGGAGATGCAGTTGTTTTGATTTCCTGTTTCTTGAAGGTGATAAACAGCCTTTAATTAATTAATTTTAGTTCTAAGTCTAAATTATCTTGAAAAATAAGACCTGATGATGAAACATCTGCATGTATTTAGGATTTAGTCATTTTATTTCTTTTTCCATTCACATTTTTAATTACATTTTTTATTTTCATTCCTTTTTTATGTGGCAGCAATCATTTGTCCCACATGTTCTGCGAAAGGAGTTGGTGTGTAATAAAATAAAATATGTTGTGAACAAATTATAAAGCTAACTGAAGTTGTTTTTGTCTAAAATTTTAATTTTAATGGCCTTGAAAATATCCTGATCTTTAAAGTCTAACCCACTAAAAAATATTTTATTGGGTTTTTCAGCCCTTTCTTGGACGTGACTAATAAGCAATTGGTAATAAATTAATTTCTGTTCTGATTAATATTTTTTGAAAGAAAATTTTGTTTATGGTTGTGTCGTTTTTTTTCCTGTTTTATTTATTTTTATTTTTTTTAATGTTGGATATTTAAAATATCACAGTTCCAGTGCGAATTATTCTTTACAAAAATAAAGTTTTTATAAAAAAAAAACTTTATTTTGGTCTGTGAGAGGGGGAATTTTGATTATTATGCCATTACCAGTATGTTACTTGAAAATGGTCTCAAAACAACAATATTATCGTTTATCGCAATAATTGTGGGAACAATTCATCATTCAGCAAAATTTATCATGACAAGCCTATACTTCACAATATCCAGATGTTCATTTAACTGTGGCGCCGATCATTAGAAATTAAACTGGCCAGTTGTAAAAAACAAAGAAATCAGAACCATTTTGTTTAAGCATGATTTATTGGACTAAATGAGAAATCCTGAACACCTGCAGTAGGAGATGAAACCTGGGTTAGCACAGGAAGTGGTTGTTGATTTATGTTTGGATCCTGACTCTTTCCTCCGACCCGATCTGGTTTTGCAGGTCTACGTGTCGCTCATCCCGATCATCAGCGGCGTGCTGCTGGCCACCGTCACCGAGCTTTCCTTTGACGTTTCGGGATTAATCAGCGCTCTCGCCGCCACGCTCTGCTTCTCCCTGCAGAACATCTTCTCCAAAAAGGTGAGGCGGCTTCACATTCAGCATGAAGATTAAATCAGGTTCAGCTGAAACGGAAAGAATCGGTGTTTAAACTCTTTTTGGTAATATTTTGACATTTGGTTGCTTTCATAAGTTCACAGTTAAAATGTGAGAGAGTTTTATTCTCAATTAAAAGTTCATTTAAAGGGATGATATGAGCGTCTCAACTAGTCCTGTTTGTAACTGCAAGTTTAATTGATTGAATTTCCCTTTGAGATTAAATGAGGATTAATAAAGTATGTTTGAGTTGAAAGCACAATTTTATATATTTTTGTCTATTTTCTTATGCAAATATCTTCAATCACTTGAAATAAAACTGACCTAAAAGTTACTTTTCAGCAAAACAGGGTGGTTGGTTTAGGTCAGTAAATTCTTAATAATGATTAAAAAGAAATGGTTGCGCTGGCGGTTGATTTATGTGAAATAATTAGCTTTTTTGCCAATATTAAGGAATTACTGACCTAAAACAAGCTCCTTTGTCTTTCTGAAAACTTATTTCTAAGTTAGTTTTGTTTTTTTTCAAGTCTGCAGAGGTATTAGTAGTAATAACTAGACAAAATATTTTGTAAGGTTTTGTACTTTTTCACTGTAAAATATGGAGGATTTCAGATGGAACGTCATCACAGCCACATGCTGTTTACTAGAGCAGTTTTGGGTTTTATTCATTTCTTTATTCTTTTTAGAGAGTTTTTTTTCCCCTCCTCTCTGTTGAAGGTGCTGCGTGACACAGGTGTGCATCACCTGAGGCTCCTGAACGTCCTGGGCTTCAATGCCATGTTCTTCATGGTTCCCACCTGGGTCCTGGTGGATTTCTCTGTGTTTCTTGTGAATGGGGATATGGTGAGTAACCACACTAGATTTATTTTTTATGATTTTGAGTTAATCATAAAATTAACCTAAACGGAGTGTAACTAGGTCTCTGCCTCCCTTTCAGTCGGATTTTTCGGAATGGACCGGCACCTTCTTCCTCCTCCTCATCAGCGGCTTCTGTAATTTTGCCCAGAACGTCATCGCTTTCAGTATTCTGAACCTCGTCAGCCCTCTCAGCTACGCCGTCGCCAACGCCACCAAGAGGATCATGGTCATCAGTATATCTTTGCTGATGTTGCGTAACCCGGTCACGCTCACCAACGTGCTGGGAATGATGACGGCCATTCTCGGGGTCTTCCTCTACAACAAGGTGGGTCCTTCCCACAGTAGAATCTCATTCAGGTGCCTCTCATTCAGTCATTCAATAACAATATAGTCAATAATCTACCTCTACATCATGTACAATCAATATAATATTTAAAGTGTCACACGTCCTGCCTGTTTAGTGGACATTTAGCTTCCTTAGAGAGTCTACATTAAGAGTATTTCTTTAGTTTCTGAGATGCTAAAGCTCATAATAGTGGTGGAGACATTTTGTAATGTTTAAGAAAACTTAAAAATTTAGAGGAACGACTTTCAAACGCAAAGATTAAACTCCGATATAAAGATTTCATCCTAACTGTACTTCTCAGTAGGGTTGGGGAATAAATGGATCTTAAATTTATTTAATCAGAATTTTGTCCTTTGAAGATTTAATTTTTGTTTCCATCAAAGAAATCCTTGTGTTGTCAGATGTCCAGAGTGATGTCAGAGCGGCCATCTTGTTTCACTTTTCTGTTTATTTGGGCTTTGACTATTAGAGCCAAACCTTTTTTATTTACGTTACAAAAACAAAGTCATGATATTAGGAGAATGAAGTAGGAGTTTTATGAGAACTGCAACATGAAAAAATTAAAACGTTGAGCATCATGTGAAGCTATGCTCTGGTCTCAGTTTGAAGATAATGAAATGCTTCACCTTTAATCAGCATCAAATTATCATCAGTAGCAGGACTTTGAAACGATTGAATAAACGGCCAGCTCTGTTTCCAAGAACGAACCACAAAAATTGAGCTGCTCATGTCAGCTCCTGATGACTCTAGAAGCTTTTCTCTCATTAAAACGACGTCTTTCTCAAAATTTTAAGACGTTTTTCTGGTAAACTGGCATCTTTATTCTGCTAATATGACTGTATTCTCATAATTAAACAGGATTTCTCGTAACATGGCCTGATACTCCTCTGTACAAATCACAGGGATGACTGAAATAAAAAACTGTTACTGGAACTGTAAGATATTTTAAAGATCCAACTTAAAACGCAACCAAAAACAATAAATAAAACAGAAAAACACAACCATAAAAAAATAGGTTATGATGTCTCTGTAAACAAATTTTCCTTCAAAAAATATTAATCAGAATGGAAATTAACTTATTATCAATTGCTTATTAGTCATGTAAGGCTTAATGTCCAAGTAAGGGTGGAAAACTTTGTAATTTGTAGAAAATTTTAAAAAATTGACTAAAATTGGATCTGTTTATAAAAAATCAGAAATGTTATTTTCAAACCTACTTTGATGTTTTATTGTTCCATGATTCTCCCAGGTTGTTTAGTTTCAGTTTAGCACAGACTGGCTTCATAAGAGATGATTTCATTTAAAATTTCCCATTTTCTCCTTCGTCGTCAGGCTAAGTACGACGCCAACAGGCAGAAGAAGAAGCTGCCCACCAGCACGCAGGACCTGCTGTCCTTCGACAACCCGATGCTGGAGAAGACGCAGGCGAACGGGTCGGGGCCTTTCTACGGCTCCGACCAGCAGCAGAACTGGAACAACGTTCTGACCGACCATTTCCAGTACAGCCGGCAGGCGTACACGGCAAACCACAGCAGCAACCACCAGTTCGTGGTGTAACGGAGGCGCTCGGGCCTCGCAGCAGCGGGTTCCCTCTCCCGCTCCGGACTGAGACTGAAGGCAAGTGCTCTTTGTCCCGGATTTAAAAAAAAAAAAAAAACGAGACGAGCCGATTGTGACGTGCCAGAGAAGTTTCCTCTCCCGCGTCCCTCCATGTCTGGACGGCATGTTTTTTTACAGCCTTGCTGCTCGTTTTTATTTATTAAGATGCTGAAACTAAATCAGCAGCTTCAGACATTTTGACGAGAGACCGAGCCACAATATTCAGACACAACAACGTGCCGCAGTTTGAAAACGTCTAGTTTGTCTTCCACAAGTAGCTGCTGGTTGTCGATAGAAAGAGAGATGCAGCGATCCGTCTCTAAAAAAATGATTATTCCCAACAGACGAAAGTCTCTAACTTTCATCTGATTTCTACTAAACTCAAAAACAGTGTATATACTGTTGGGAGTTCTTAGTTTTGATTCATTTTCTCAAAGCTGATAAAGGAAAATAGACGTAGCTAATCGCTGTCAAATTGATTGTTGCATCTCTAATCTGTAACCTTTCAACCAAAACCCGAAATCCGTCATGTTGCATCTGTAACCAACTTGGGTTTTTACCTTTAGGGTTGTCGTTTTTCTTCTTGAGGCATTTGTTTTACGTCTTCAGTGAATATTCCTCAAAAAATGGAGGCAGATTATATTTTAGCGTCGACTCTCGTTATGATTTAAGCTAAGCTACATTTACGTTGTTGAAATGAGCCATGTACAGCCCAGTTTGGATTCACACGTTTCCAAGCGTACAGGAACATTTGAGGTGTTTTTGGTCTAAATGTGGGTTTTAGTTTCCTGGGTTAAAGTCTTGTTTTCAACAGATGGTGCTTTTCTCTTCTGTCCCCTAATTCCTGGCTCAGGTGGTTGGTTACCTGGTCAGGTCAAAAAAAGAAGCCAGGTGTGTTGAATTTCAGTTCATCTGCTGTTTAGAACCAGACGTTTTAGTTTCTGATCATTTTTTTATGTTCTTTATAAACATGCCTTTAGGAAAATACTAAAGTGTGGTCCAAAAATGTTTTCTAAATAATGTGGAGCGTTTAGAGGAAAGCGTATCTTTAACAAACTTTAATTTCTGAAAGGCTGAAGGTACGAGACGTAAACTCCTTTTGATTTATGCCTCCAGCGTCATTCATACAAGTGCCTGATGAAGAAAAATAACTAATAATAAAAATAAAACAAGGTGTTCTGTTTGTTTTTCATTGTGTCTGGGCAAACGTTGATGCTTGTAAATATTCCCACAACCAGAATAGTGTGAGCTGCATTTTAAATAAAAAACAAAACCCTGCTGATCGATCACAAAGGGATGTTTGAGAACGCAGCGCGTTTACAGCTTTAAGTGGAGAGTGAGGCCAAAGGTCAGTGACCTCTCACCCATCTGTCCTGTCCCCCTGTTGAGCAAAGATGTCACAACTTGTTGTCCAGATGTGTCGTCGTAAAACGTAGATCACCGGTTTCTAGAAAGGCCCTGTGATGTGCCTTTTGGTTTAGCAAATGTAAAGAATGAAAACTAAATTTTAACGGTTATGGATGCAGAAAATAATTTAAAGTATTACCCCGTTTCTTTTTTATAGGTTATTGGAGTTTAGCACCAGAGTTGGATTTATTTTTCCTTAAACCCTGAACTAAAGCTGCTTTGGGATGTTTTATGTTACTTTATTTTTTATTTTTTCTACGGTAGCCGGCGTCAATTTTGCACATTTTAAAACGACAAAATGTGATTTTTGTTTATTGAACTTGGTGCAGATATTAGTCACCAAAAGGACTCGCCATCCATAAAAAATGAACTTTTGCTCTTTAAATTAATCTGTGCAGGTGGATCTTAATAAATTAAACTATTATAAAACATTTCTGAATTGAGTTTTTAATTGGTCTAATTTTCTAAGATATTGAATTTTGGGTTTTAGTGGAAAACCAAAATCTACTAAATTAACCAAAATGATTCTGCATATAATGAATCTTTCCCTGAGTTGAGCTTTGTTATTAAAATTAAATAATTTTTGTTTTATGTTTTAATTTATTGACATTCACCTTTCATATCGATCATTCTTAAGGACTGCAGATATTTTTTATTTTATATTTTTGCAGATTTTTCTTTCGTTTCCTCAGATATTTGTTTTAATTTATTCTTCAGGTTTGTTACATGTGTGGCATTTAACAGACTGAAGTGGAAAGACTCATTCAGTAAGGATTCATGGGTAATGTAGTTCTTACAAGCTGTTTAGTAAAACTAAATATTGGCCAGTAGCACAGAAACACCAGGCAAAAAATATCTGTAATGACATTTCTGTTCATGTTTCACATTTGAGCCGATGTTTTGTTCAATTTACTAAAATCCTAATTGTTTAAAATTAAAGCATAGACTTTCAGAGCATCAAAAATCATGCCTGAATTGATTTGTAATTTGGCCAAATTAGCATTTATGACTTCAAAGAATTGAACCAGGAAATAATTAAATATTCACCTCATCAAGCTGTTGTACTTCAGTGTCCTACATTTTTTGATTTGCCAGATTTCATCTTCATTGAAAGTGTACTTTTAGATCCTCAACACAAAGTACCTCCAGCTTTCTGTCTTTGCAACAATTTCACCTTTTTCAGGATCAGTAATAAATCAGTTCAACAATACAGAACACATAATCTAGTCATAAAGATATGGTTAATTATGTCCAGAGAGAGCTAGGATGTAAGTGTCACAAAATATTATTATACAACAGTTTGATAATGTCAAAATTGGGCGATTAGTCTGACCAAACTCAACAAAACCTAAGAGTGTTCATCATTTATCAAATTGTGTTTAATTGCATCCAAAATGTTTGGATGTGAAGGAGGTATTGGATTAATTGGAAAGAAACGACGTCTATGACGGCAAAATGCTTAGTTTATTTTCTTCATGTTTCTTTGTGTTTTTAACATTTTGTCTTGGTGCATCACAGAATGAAGGCCTTGATTGCAGGTTGCTGAGATGTAAAAAGACTGTATTGTTATTTTCTTCATGTATATAAACCTACATGGAAAATGTAAAAGCATTTTTTGGCGCTCTGTAAAGCTTTTTTCACTGGGCTGTAAAGGATAAAGAGTAATAAGGGGATATCTCTTTGTAAAAGTTGTATACTGATTATTTTTGTTGTCTTTAATGGATCTCGAAATAGCATTTGTATGTAAACTATGTTTATAGATTTTTATTTATGGTGTCATGGTACAAACTGTACAGAGGTGCTGCAATGCACAGTCTTGTCTGCTTATGTTTGGTAAATATTTTTAAATGTTGGGGAGAATAAATCAATTCTGAAATACTGAAAAGGCCTACTGTCTTAAATAATACATACATACACAATACATAACTGCACAGGATATAAAGTCAATGATAAATTAATTGTTTTAAAAATAAAAATGAGATATTTCTTCCATATGCGGTCAAATTTAGATTTGAGGAGAATTAGCATAGCTAGCGAACAACTGATGATGTCATCCAGGACGTGTTGCTGTAAAAGCTGGTCTAAATTGAGCAGAAAAACTTTTTAAAATAAAGTATAAAACAATAATAAATTAGATGTTAGATGTGACCAGATTCTAAGCACGCTACGTATAAGTTAGTTTATTTTACTTTATTAAGGAGCTACTTATTTTAACTTTATAGCCATTTGACATTTTTCTGACAATCTAACTTACTGGCGCCATCTAGTGGAAATTTTGGGGTATCGTTCTAAAATCGCCTCAGAAAAATCTATCAGATTATGTAATGTATGTCACTATATATATATATATATATATATATATATATATATATAGTTAGTATAAATGAATATAATTTTGCACCATCCTTAAAGAACAATATCATTGATCACAAAATGAAAAACCATTGCAAATACTAGTTGTATAATATAAGTGCAGTCGGAAGGAGATAAAGAAGTGTATTTTGTTCGACTTGTTTGGGGCTTATCTTAAAGCCCTAAAGGTAAATTAAAAGACTTTTTTTTTTTACTTATATTAAATGTTATTTTTAAATGAATATGTTTTATTATATATATTAAACAAACGAGTGATACTTCTGTTCTTAAGAGGTTTTTCTATCAAAGTTAAAAGTTGTAGTTGAAGTGAAGATCTTTTGTATGTGTTTAAATTTCATCAATAAAATACGTCCGCTCCACCACCAGACCCTGGAACAGTGGCTGAGTATCCAAAATAAACTTTAGCTTACAAGTTAAAACAAAATGTCGTTCTCCAACATCGCCGCTAGATGGCGTCAGTGTACTAAAAAGACTTCTTCCAGTTGTGAGCCTTTATTTTGGCAACAGACTCTATTTAGTGCCACACTGAAATAGTATTAGTTTTTCATGTTAACATCAATGCTTTAAAATACCAATGAGACAAAAAGTGCATCGTTGTTGATGAATTATTTAAATTCGGATTAGTGTGCAGGTAGCAGCTTTTGTTTCCCACTAGAGACTTTGGAAGATCAGCAACTTCATAAAAACAGTAATAACAATAATAACAAAAGGGCAAAAATGATGATACCAAAACACCAATAACAAACTGTTTTGCTGACGCAGCAAGGTGGCTGTCCAAACAAACATGTTTATGACTGTGGAGTGATGACATGACCTGGACAAAAACGGGACATAAACGGCAGAAATTTGTTTCCTTTTTTCAAAATTTATAGTGTTTTGTGTGATTGGCTCATTTCGTGAACTCAACAGCAACTTTAATAAAAGCAGAATTTAGAAATAAGTGGATTATTTTCTTAATGTGTAGCAAATATCACTATATGTGGATTAAAAAAAACAGTTATAATACAGTCTGTCCTTGTGTGTATGACTTATCAGAGGAAGCTTTTTTATCAACATGCACCTAATTTAAGCAGATAAACTTGATTCTGCTGAGTTGTGCAACTGCTAAAAATGAAAGGTCATGCCTTGTGTGTTTTATGTTGCCACCTGGGCTCATTTTAATAGCCGTGTCATCGTGCGTGTGTCACTTTTCAGCCACGGCCACGCCCTTGGCTTTGAGCTGAAAAGCATCCGTCATCTTTAATTATTTTGGTATCAAGTGTGAAATCGCAGTTGTCATCACCACAGAGCCCCATTTGATTTTTAATTTCATCTGTCACTGAGAGCTGGGAAACGAACATGGATCCCGTTTCATCCCATGGATTGGTTTTCTGCTTGAGAATATCTTCAGCTCTTCATTTGAGTCGACAGCTGCAGGGGGGCAAACACAACAGTCAGCACCCACAGCCCTGGATTTTTTTTTTATTTTTTTTTAATATATATTAATGAATAAAAGAAGTTGTTGGGAAAGTAGAAGAGCTTTGCTTGGATCCTCATCTCACCAACATCTTCATAAAGGCTGCCACTGTCTTGCTATCTTGCACTAAAACAGTAGAATTGAGTTTAAGGGGGGAACAAAACAAACATTTGTAACCTTTCTTTGTTCGTCTCGGACCCAGACACATTCGGGTTTGCTGTATTTATTCTAACAAGAGATAAAATCAAGTCGGTGGTCACATCAGTCCAGCAGTTTCTGCCCCACAGTTACAAACAACAACAGAAAATGGGGAGGGGGTGGGGGGAAGGGGCTGTCAGTTACTGGTTGCTACGGCAACCGCCAACTGTCAAAAGCAGCGCAGCTTGTTATATACCAGGAGAAATCACTTTTTTGACTAAACCAAATGCATCTGAAGAACGAATAAACACATTTTTAGCAAACTTAACATCTATAATGCTAAAATTCATTTGATATGAATTGAACACGTCTATTCAATCCATTTTCAGTCAAAAGCTTAACTTACAAAACAAAACAAAACAAAACAAAAACAATCAAAAAGACAGCACTGCTTGCAATTTCCCTCCTATTTCTCCTGCCGAGACTTCTTCATCTCTGCCAAATACCGGCAGAAATTGACAGCAGTCGATCAATATCAAACAATCTTCTGCTTAGTGTTAATGATAGATCGATCTCGCTCTGACTCATCCATTCAGAGCGGCGCTTCTGAAACCAAAAGGTCAGATAAAGCGAGAGCTTAGGTGAGTTCCCCACACCGCCCTCGTATTCGCAAAATGACTGATGTGAAGATCTGCGAATTAAAACAAAACCCTGAACGATCGAGATGAATTCAACAAATCTGACCAGTGAAACATCAAATGCATTTAAACTGTGTATTGTTTTGTAAATGAACATTACACACGGTAAACAGAGTGCGCATCCAGCTAAAAGATAAAAGATAAAAGTACCATAACTAACTTGAAGTTGCAAATATTAAACCCTTGCCTTGAAGGAGATTCCTAAATTTACTTTAAAACTGCATTTTTTGCTTCGTTTTTTTTGTAAAGAAAGTCAATGAAATCATATTTATTTTCTATTCAGAATTCAATCAAAAGAGTTTCTGGATGACATGTAGAAAAAAAAATTAATTACTTAACATTTGAGTCTGTAATATATAACAGGTAACAAATGATCAAATACTTCATGTGGGAATTTTATAACACCAACCAAAACTTTTGTCTCTCAAATGACAGCAGAATATTTCTGTTCATGCTAATTATTTTTAACTTTGCGTCTGTTTATTTCTGAAGTCTTGATGAGCTAGAAATACTTTTTGGGAAGTGAGTTTTGAACTGCTTTAAAGTTCTCACATGTTTATGCTGAGACCCTGTTTCTGCTTCTTCTATTCTATATTTATCTGTAGTCATGATGGCCATTAATGTCATATTTATCACAGTATTTTAAGGATTTGTTATGACTCTTCTTTTCCAGGATGGGATAGTGACACAAAATACAGCAATCGTCATTTTTAAAGACAAGAATGGATTTCAGATTCATCCATTGTCAAATAAAGACTCAGTTTACATAACCCTGTTTTAAATCTGGTTGGTTATTTTGACCACTCTTTCTTGGCAGAGTTGGTTGAGTCCTTTATTAAAATAGTTAGTTTCTGGGGCAGATTCAGCTTTTAAGATTATCAATTTTCAACCACATTGCAGTCTTTGATTAGGAAGGCAATCAGGAAGCTAAATATGTGTCCATATTTCTGATGCTACCTGGCAAGTGGCAGCGAATTGACACGTAGATGTAAGGAAATTGGCTGAGATGTTCAGAAAACCGCCAAACCTGTTGTAAAATGGAAGACCTGTCCCTAGTCAAAACTTATTTTAAACGCCCACTGAAGAAGACGATGTCTGCTCCATAGTCAACACCTATGTTGACTACCAAAGTTTGAAGATACCAAAACAGATAAATGAAGAAAAGTTTAACCGTTCGTTGAGACAAAAAGTTTATCCGTTTGGCCGCGATGACAAGAATTATGTTTGGAGGAGTCAGAGAGGGCTTTGAAAACCTAAGAACATCGTGGCAAGTGCCAATCATAGTGGCGGCACTATCTTTCCTTCTTGCAAAATTTAAGATACCAAAACAAGAAGAAAAACTTGACCATTTGATGAGATAGGAAGTGTATCTGTTTGGCCACAATGACAAGATTTATATTTGGGAAAGGCAGAGAAGGCTTTGAAACCAACATCGTACCATCTGCCAATCATAGTGATGGCAGCACCTTGCTTTCTTGCACAACTAAAAATTTGAGATAACCAAACAGATAAAATCATGAAGAAAAACTTGACCATTTGATGAGATAGGAAGTTTATCTGTTTGACCACAATGACAAGAATTACATGTGAAAATGTTTTGAAAACTCTTTGCTGAGGGGATGTTTTGCACAAACTGGAAGACAAAGGACTATCTTCAAATTCTTCATCTAAAACACACATCAATTATGAATTGAGCTTCTAAAAATCACAAACTTAATTCTATATATATATATATATTAGTCATTTGAAATTTCCAGCTGCTTGTGTGGCCACAATTAATGCCTCTAAGTGATATGTTTAATGTCAGAAGAGATATGGATTGAGACATTTAGGCAGAATGACAAGAATTATCTTTAGAGGAGTAAAAGTGAAGCTTTGAAACCTAAGAACATCATACCAACCATAAAGCATGGTGATGGCAGCATCGTGCTGTGGCACCTTTTTGTTGTCAGTTGTACCTGCACATTATGACACATGTATGCAAGGGCGCCGCCAGGAATCTTGGGCCCCCTGACAAAAAATTTGTTTGGAACCCCCGCGCAGCTGCTGTTACAATTTT